TGCTAGAAGGAAGAAGGAAACACCAATCTAGAGCGTGAAGGGGGCTTGGATCTGGGCTAATCATCCTGAGATTTCATCTCTGGAGGTATAATCCTTTCTATTTCATGTTGATATGATAGATTTCATGATTTTAGGGTTTTTACCTCCATTTTATGTAAGATCTAGTGAGTATGAGGCCTCCTTTGTGTTAATAGCATCAGATCTGGACCATGAGAGGTCCATAGAGTCACTATCCCTCAGCTTTATGCAAGCAAATGAGAGATTGGGGACTAGGTTGCCATTTTTAGAGTTATTTCTCCATTTGTGACTTGATATGGGTTGCATGCACGTAAAGGTTGCACCTTTACGTGACCTTTGAGCACTTGAAGGGTAGATCTGATAGTTAGGGAAGCAGATCTGACCTTAGGAGGTCATTTGAGTATGAACATGGAAGCAACTCGCCGAGTCCATAAGTGGACTCGACGAGTCGAGTCGGGGTTGCCCCGCGATTCGTGACAGGAGAAACCCATCGAGTGGAAGGATGACTCGACGAGCCAAGAGAGGCTTGAAGGATTCAGAGGACCCGCATGGACTCGCCGAGTCGCCCTTGTGCACTCGACGAGTCGGGTCAAAGTTTGACCGTTGACTTTCGTTGACTTTAGGGTTCTGGTCAAGACTGATTCAGGAGAGTTCAGGGAAGGGTAGAATGGCCTTCTACCCAATCTGTAGAGATGAGATTATGAGAGAATATTGATCGGGAATGTTATTTGAATAATAGGAGGAGGCTAGGTCGGGACGTTGAGCACGAGAGTTTATCCGACTTCATTGAGGTGAGTCTTCTCACTATACTGTACCTGGAATGGTACCTATGTGTGACCGGAAGGTCTTATATGCTATGAGATGTATGAGTTGTATGTTGTTATGTGATATGTATGTGTTATGTATGTTATGTACGATAAGGACCGGAAGGTCAAGATGATATGGACCGGAAGGTCAAGAGGTTACAGACCGGAAGGTCGATACGGGTAGGACCGGAAGGTCTACCGGGATTCGGGATGGAAGTCCCCTAAGACACATGGATCGGAGGATCCTACAGAGTTATGGCCTGGAAAGGCGTATGTGTGGTATGTGGTATTTTGGGGAACTCACTAAGCATTTATGCTTACAGTTGTTATGTTATATGTTTCAGGTACTAGCGAGGATCGCGGGAAGGCGCCGGCATGATCCGTACACACTTATGGAGTTTATGTTATTGAGATTTTGGGACATGTTTTGTTATGACACAGTGGATACATTATGTTTTTGTGATTATCGAATGATTGAAAGTATGATTTAAAAATGAAAAATTGTTTTGAAAATTTACGTTGTTACATATTTGCATTTGAAAATGTTGTTTTCATAGGTATTTCAATGAGTAATTGAAGATTTTCGTTATTTTTATTTAGTTTTAACAATTTATTTGTCCATGTAGCACGAGAACATAATATTTATTTGGCAAATAAATGCCAAAGAACTATTCTTTGATTAAAGTAACTATAACGCAAGCAACAAGTATAAATTTTTATTTTAGGATGACTTATATTATTTAGTGTGTTATAACACTTAGGTGTAATATTTACTTGCATTGTTTATTTTCTATATTTCGTGCAACAAAAAACTGAAAAATTCAAACGTAAAGCCAATCATCACATTTCAAAATACAAACAAAATAATGGAATAGTCTTACAAACTTATTACACCGTCATTATATTGATTACAAAACTTAATTTTCTTGGCCACACATGGAAAATTTTAATGGATACGTAGTTCTTCCGCAGTCAACAAAATAACCTATAATTATAATAACACGACCCCCTGGTGTTCTGTCACACACATGTAAATCTCTGCTGCTACAATGTCAATCCATTTTTTTTGTCTCTTTTAATTTTGTAACATCCTGATTCTCAGGTACTTCATTTATTTATTTATTTAATGAGTGACTCGACGAGTTGGGTGTTCGACTCGTCGAGTAGAGTTGGATTGAGCACGTGGCTTTAAAGACCGACTCGACGAGTCAGAGAGCCGACTCGCCGAGTTGGCGCTGAGAGATGAAACCCTAAATCTCTGGGTTTGGGACCTATTTAAAGGAACTTATGTCCTGATTTCCGCCTCACCAGCTACCCAACTCCCCTGTGTGAAACCCTAATCGTTTGTAGTGAGCCAAGAGAGATATTGAGCTAATCCTTGAGTATTTTAGTGCATCACTTGAAGAGAAGAGAAGGATTTCAAGCAAGGAACGAGAAAGGACCGTTAGATCTGTTGTTATTTCGTCCAGAGCTTCTGTGGAAGGTAAAAAGTCTACACCTTTCTCATTATGTTGGGTAGATCTCATGCTCATGGAGTTTTAGGGATTTTTCCATCTATTATTGGGACTTTGAGTATACTGAGCTTATCCAGAGATCTAGACTTCCGATCTGGACCTTGTGAGGTCCCTAGAGTCCAAAGGTCCCAGCTTTATTCAGCCATAGTAGAGCTTTTGTGTGAAAAACCCTTTTTGGAGCTTGTATTGGCATCATGGAACAAATATGACATGCATTAACGTAAAGATCGAAGCTTTACATGACATTCGAGCCTTGGGGGACTAGATCTAGAGTTTGGAGTGATAGATTTGCCTTAAAACGTCTGAATGAGAATACAGACGGAATGGACTCGCCGAGTCAATGAGCTGACTCGACGAGTTGGCTAGGGTTTTCACGATGAGACTGATCACGCGATAACTCGGCGAGTTGACGGGTCAACTCAGCGAGTTGAGTTGGACTTCATGAGGGTCCTGGGGGTCCGAAGGGACTCGACGAGTCGCATAGATGCACTCGGCGAGTCAGGTCAACATGGACTGTTGACTCGGGTGTTGACTTCTGTGACTTTAGGGTTTGGTCAAGGCAGGGTTGTGGGGACCATGGAGGGGAAAATGGTCTTTTACCCATTCCAAGAGTTTGAGAGAGAGAATAACCTAGTTTACTTAGAGACGTGATTTGAATGTTAATTAGAGATAATTATCTTATGTGTTAGGCGAAGGCCAGTTTGAGATTCGCGTACGAGAGTATTTACTTGCTTGCTTACGAGGTGAGTCTTGTCACTATACTTACCTAGAGTGGTAACATTTGTGTGACCGGAGGGTCTTATGTGCTTATTTGAGTTATGTGATATTATGCATTTTGTCTGTGTGATATATATGTTATATTCTGTGTTTTACTGAGACAGGACAGGAGGGTCCAACCCGAGTTATGGGACTGGAGAGTTCCCACTGAGACATGACCGGAGGGTCCAAACCGAGTTGTGAGACCGGAGGGTCTTCACTGAGATACCGGACTAGAGGGTCCACCCGAGTTGTGGGACTGGAGGGTCCCACAACTTAAAAAAAATTGAAAAAAAAATCTAAAAAAATACAAATCATAAAATCGAGCATAGTACTATATCCGGGAGAAAAAAAATTGCATCATTAAAATTGAATCATTGATCATAAAAATTGAATCATGGATCATAAAAATGATCCATGTTTCAATTTTAATGATCCAAATTTTTTTCCATTTTTTTTTCTCTCCGATGTAGTACTATGCTTGATTTTATGATTTGTATTTATTTTATATTTTTTATTTCAGTTTTTTTAAGGTGTAATCACGAATCCTCATTTTAAAAAGAGAGTCCTCACCCGATCTTATATATATAAGATATATATATATATATATATTATATATATATATATATATATATATATATAGTGATTCACCGTGGTTATAGTTCAGAAATTGATTAATACCAAAAAAAACATTACAATTTTCTTCTTCATGATGCCGCGCATCAAATTTCATATGAACTCTTTTTCCACCGAATAAAAGAAGATATTGCATCATTTGTAAGATGTTATTGCAAAATTAGTGATTACTGGAAAATTCTAATTTTAATTTTAAATAACTTTTAAACAACAAATCTAATTTATTCGTAATTTTAATACAGTTCAGATAAGATTTGAACTCTTAATTTTAAAGAAATAGAACAATATCAAATACCAGGATAAAAGCCCTCTAATAAATAATTAGAAAGATTTGTGTTTTTTTTTTCTTCTAAAACTAATATCTAATACCTAAAAGACAATTATTTCACCTACAAATGTACATATAATTTTAACTGGTAAGCTACTATCCCGTTTTGCGGGGGACTAAACTTGCGTAACGCCCAAAGTGTAAGGAGCAAACCTGCAAATATACAAATGTAATGTTGCGAGAGCGTTAAACCAAAAAAGTGTAGGGACGAAACATGAAAATATATTGTAGGGGGGCATGGGGAGTAATCTGTAAATTTTCTATTATATAAGGACTATTCCTTATTTATTTAAACATATGGATCGTTTCTGTAAAAAAACACACAAGTACCTTTTCCGTAAATTATGGTGATAATTTTTATAATTTTTTTTCTACACAATGATCAAATCTTCCACCATACAAAAATATTAAACATATGAACTGTTTTTGTAAAAAAAATTAACAATGACTTTTTCTATAAATTACAAAATTATAAGGACTAATTATGTCAAAATCCATAACAAATGTGGCAAAACTCCAAAAATAAATACCTTTGTGACAAATTCTTAAAGTGGCAAAATATACTATTCCCAAGGACTTTTGTACTGACTGTTTTTGTAATTTTTTTTAAATATATGGATTGTTTATGTAAAAAAACATACAATGACCTTTTCTGTAAATTAAGAAGACAAATTTTATAATTTATTTTGTATACAGTGCCAAAACTACTAATAAACAAAAATCTTAAATGTATGAATTGTTTTTGTAAAAAAAAATAAATTCACAAGGGCTTTTTCTGTAAATTACAAAATTACAGAGACTAAATATGTTAAAATTTTATAACAATTGTGGCAAAACTAAAACTCTTAAAATGGTAAAATATAAAAATGTATCATATCGCGATTATATTATATCTAGCTCAAAAGCACCAACACTCGGTTGAACACTTGAACTCACCTCACCATGAAAGCTATTGATATACTCTGTGCTTCCCAAGCTGCAACCTCCATCGTCGACTACATGGATTCCAACAACATTCATCAACAACCATCCTCTTCCTCCTCCGGAACCTCCGCCGGCGGCAGAGCAATCGACCGCCACAACCCCATCATCCAAGACCAAAAAAGACTCTCTTCTTCCACCCAACCCACCACTACTCCAAACAAGAACAAGAAGAATTCCAAAAACAGCGATCAAAAAAGAAAATCCATTGCGTTTGCTGATGAAAATAACGACCAACAAATTGATTATGAATAAAAATAGTTATGTGAAGAACCCTAGTAGCAGCAGCACCACCGTCGTAAGGAAGCAAGGAGGAGGAGCTCTGCTTGGATGGGGATGTACAAGGCCAGGTGATTTTATCAGCCCTGCAACTTCTTCAAGGTTCTTGTTGGCTGACAAAGCCTTGTCCGATCAGTTTGATCCACTTTTGAAGCAAGTTTCGCCGACGCCAGCCCCGCCGCCGGAAAAACCAGACAAGTTCGAGAATGACGATTCTGTTAAGAAGAAAGATGATATCCGTTTATCTTCTTCCCCTCCCAAGACAACGCCACGTTCTTCCTCTTCTTTGTCCTCACGCTCTTCCGATCAACAGGTTTTTTTCTCGTAATTTAATTATTATTTATTTTGATTTATGATATTAATTATCCAGAAACATTATTATCACTTTTCATGTTAAGATCTCAACGCTAACCCTTCATATTTATACTACATCCATAAAAATAGAAATATTAGGACATTTTACACTTTGCAAAACAATATTTTTTTTTGTTGAATTTAAAGAACGCTCTTTGAAAAAACAGTTACTTGAGATGAATAAATTTACTAGTGAGTTATGATCCATGATTTTCGTTATTTTGTAAAAATAAAATTATAGAAAAGCTTCTTTTTAAAATTAGATTTATTCTTATTAATTTTATAATTTAAAAAACACTTTTTTTCTTTTCCTTTTTTTGTATTTAAACTAAAAAAATAAGATCATAAATAAAGAAAACTTCCTGTGTCTTAAGCTATAATCTCCAAGTTACATGTCTTAAAAACCGATTTAAGCCTTTACAACACCTAATAATAGTATATATAGTACAAGTTAATTATATATAGATTAATACCAAAGTAAATTTATAAAATATCAAAATATTTAAAATAAAAAAATTAACCAAACCATGACCATGAATCAATTACGAACATAGATATATAAAAGCTGCAATTTTTAGATATTTTCAAAATGAAAAAAATATTCCATTTTGTACCAAAAAAATTGTTTTTAATTTTGATGGGACTTGAGATACCTGGAAAAATAGTAATAAATAATTTGGTTAATTACAGGTTGTTGTGTTAAGGGTGTCACTGCACTGCAAAGGTTGTGAGAAAAAGATGAGGAAGCATATCTCTAAAATGGAAGGTACGCAAAATTTTATCAAAACGCATATAACTAATCCTTTATATATTTTGTGTTATCATTGTTTAATTCGATTATTTTAAATTACAGCCATTTATAAGTTATGTTATAAGTTATGTTGTTTTGTATAAGCTTTTTTGAAGCTTTTAATTTTTTAACTTTAAGAAAGAAAAAAAAACTCCATGAAAAAAAAAAGTTGTTTGGATGTACGAGTTTAAAAGTTTTATTTTAAAACAAAAATTTTTAATCGAAAATAGTTTTAGAAGGTAGCTTTTATTATTATAATTTTACAAATTTTAAAAATTTATAACTATACAAATAAAGACTAAATAAAGACTACAGGTTATAGTTATCCCCAATGTTTTAAAAACCGGTTTGAACCGGCCGGTCAAACCGGTTTGACCAGGAATCGGAGAAGGGAACGGTTCAACTATCAGCGGTTTTATATCGATTTCTGAACCGGATTGAACCAGCCGGTTTTTAGAAAAACCCAGTTAAACCGGTCAAAATAAACCGGTTGAACCAAATAAAACAAATGAAAAAAACCATTTACATAATGAATTTTGGTGATTTTTTTTCAAATCTATTTAGTTTCTCTAAATAAAAAACATATGATAAATGTTATAAAGTTTTTTTATGTGTTTGTATTAATCTAAAACTATATTTTGTTTCGGTGTTATACTTTATTTTCTTTTTGACGTATATAGATTGATGTAAAGTACTAAAACTTATGTTTATGTGTTATTTTAATGTATTTGGATTCATCTACAACTTATTTTTATGTGTATTTTTAATGTTTGAACTTATAAACATCAAATTCATGATTTATATATGTATGTATGTGTAGGAAAATAAGAAAAAACATGAAAAATATTGAAACCGGTTGACCCGGCGGTCGAACCGATTGAATCGAAAACCGGTCATCATATCGGTTCAACTAAAAAACCGGTTTTTAAAACATTGGTTATCCCTATTATAAAACTCAAACATTCCTTATATTGTCTTTAAATCAATTTGTTTCAGGAGTAAAAGACTTTAGTATAGACTTTATGGCGAAAAAGGTCACGGTGATCGGTGATATAACACCGTTAGCGGTTCTCACAAGTGTGTCAAAAGTCAAGAATGCAAAATTATTAACTCCGACAACAATTTCCTCACCGGCCGTCCCTGCGATAGACTCAGATTTCTCTGAAATCAAGAAACAATTAGGAATTGTCTTATAATAAATTATAACGTAATGGTGTAGGGTGGTTTTAATCTTTGGATTATTTTGGTTAATTTTGTACACAACATTTGGGTATTTTTGTGATTACTAATATGATAAACTGAAATGGGGTTTTCGTAAGCCCAATGCATGATAGTAACACTACATTGAATTTGTTCTTCCCAAAAAAATTGTTTTTACAATGACCATTGTGGGAATAGGATAAGCGTGATTCCTATATTCATACTTTTTAAAGAATGTTTTTAAGATATTTGTAAAAAATTGAAACATTTTTTATATATATAAATTGCTTATGTAGCTTATGATTCTATTAGATGTTATTTTCTTATTCTTTTAGACAAGTTAATGTAAAGATTTTTTTTGTAGCTAAATTCTTCTAACTTAGGCTAAGGGTATGCTCATCATGAAAATTATCCGTGGCCAAGTGGCATGAGCACCACTAGGGGTGACAATTGATGACACGACACGACATAAATACATAACACGAAACGAATTTGGGACAAAATTGAAATTCGAATTCGTGTTCGTGTCAAGTATAAAAAACACGATGTCGTGTCGTGTCGCGTTCGTGTTCAAAATTCGACACGAAATTGACACGATTTAGCATTTGTATGTCGTGTTTTTCGTGTTTGTCGTGTTATATATATTACGTATTAATTAAATAAACTACTTTTTATTTTATTTTATTTTATCTTTGTCGTGTCGTGTCGTGTTTGTCGTTTTTTAATCGGTTCGTTTTCGTGTTAGTTAAGAAAAACACGACATCGTGTCGTGTCGTGTTTGTGTTACTTAAAACTTTGTCGTGTCGTGTCGTGTCAGACAAAAACACGACACGATGGCCTGATTTGCCACCCCTATGCACCACGGCCGTAAATACTATCCTTATCACCACGATCATGGTTCTTCGTGGTGTTTACCATGGAATATCATGAACGAATGGCATTGAAAATAGTAGATTTCCAAGGGTTAAACGGTTAGAAACATTGAACATATGTTTCACACACACACACACACACACAAACACATATATATATATATATATATATATATATAGGGCTAGGTTATAATGTGGATTAACAACTATTGTGCGGACGTGTGCACAATGCTATTCTATGAAATTACTAAGAGAATAAGTTGATTGGTAATGTGAATACGTTCAACCTTACACAACTTTATTCATTTTTGTTCTCACACATCGTTTTTTACTCATTTTCATTCTTACAAAATACGACTCGCTAAACATTCTGACAGAATGAGAATAATAATAAAAAAAATTTATAATAACCTTATAGACGATTTAATTAGTGAGAATACATGATGATGACGATAGTTATATAAGATGGAACGTATTCATATTACCAAACAACATTATTTCTTTATCATTATTACAAAATAGCATTGTCCACACGTCCGCACAATATATGTCAATCCACATTTGAACCTAGCTCTCTCTCTCCTCTCTCTCTCTCTCTCTCTCTATATATATATATATATATATATATATATATATATATATATATATATATATATATATATATATATATATGGAAAAGTGAATATATATTATAGCCCTACCTAAGCTTACGTAGTAAACCTCATGAAAATACGTTGTTTTACTATATAAAGATTGTGATTAGGGGATTCACGATTAACACTTGAAGATGTAGATTCAAGATCGACGCAATAGTTTTGATAAGGGAACAAGAATATTGATTATCTTTGACCTTCATGACAGTGGAAAACAGTAATGTTCGCTGGTAAGAAGTAATAAACGATAATGGAGGAAATAAAACATGGATTGTAAAACGATAATGGAAGAAAGAAATGTTATCGTGGATGCTATATTACTAAGTGAAAACCAAACGATGTACTTTTACTAAGTTAAAACTACTTATTTTAGAGGTTTAGTACCTAAGCTTAGGTGAGGCTATAATGTATATTCTCTATCCCTATATATATATATATATATATATATATATATATATATATATATATATATATATATATATATATATATATATACATATAACAGTTTCAATATAATTTATTTCACATTATTTTTTTTCTTTCTCTACTACAAAAACTATAATATCAATCGCATACAATTTCTTATTCCCCACTATGGAACAAATTCCTTAACCATCAAATTTCCAAACCTAACAACCTTGTGAGGAAAAGAAGATGTTGTTTTAGCTCATTTTTGGATATCGGTGTCCGAAGACCCCTTCAAACGAAGAGAAACCTTAGGCCAAACTATTCTAAACCACTTCCACAATGAAATCGGGAAATGTGTTTTATCAGAATCTCAATGGGTTTTCGTCAAAATAGCACGATATAATGTTAAAAAATAATTGAATTCAATGACATTTACAATGACTTCAAAACACATCCAAATAATGACTTCCAAGCGATGTTGTGTTGAAACAATATCAATAATACCAACGTAATCTTAAACATTTTCCCTATATCAATGTTTGGTATGAGTTATGTAATTTTTCAAAATCATTTCCGTGGTAACATGTAAATGTTGAAGATGAAAACTAAATTTCGTACTAAGGATTTTTTTTTATTTAAATTAATGTAACCTTTTTTTTCCTACCATGTAATTTTCCTTTTTATTTAAATTAATAGAATATTTTAATTTTAACTAAAATCTAGTATTTAAATTTCTTTATTTATTTATTTTTTATTGATCATATATGATGTGGTTAATATACCAAGCAAATGTAGTGTGAGTTTGGTAATGAAATGATAGTGGCACGACAGAACTTTTCTTATAACTCATGGCTTTAGTAAAACATTCGAAAAATATTTATTTTTTAGATATGTTTGGTTGTTTGCACAATGAGTAATTGAAAAGTCAGTTATATGCAAACTATTTTTATTTGGGGAAAAAAAATATTTTTTAATTTTCTTTTGGGAATGGCACCGCACAGATTTAGTTATGAAAAAGAAATTACAGAAATTAATATCTATGGGGTCTTGCACTTTAGAAATAAGTGCAATGAAAAACATATTACAGGGATTTACTAGTGTGTTGGAGATATAAAATGTGAGCGACAATATCATCTCAATCAACCCCCAATGAATCTTAATGTATTCAAAAGTGATGGTCTTCTTTGCTTGTGGTTTTCAAATATGTAATGGGCCTTATCTTCTTGGGCTCTTAATAGTCATTAAATCCTCAAGGAGTCTGGATCTTTGGGACGACAACCAATCATATTATTACTCATTCAAAGTCGAACCAAAACGACCTGATTCAAGAAAGTTTAAAACAGGTCGGTTCATAAAAATGATTTGAATTATAATAATTAATTGGCACGTTTTATTGCTATCTTTGTTAGGACTTAGGAACGTATAAAGAAACTTTAAAATAATTCCGACCTGCCGGATTCGAACCAGCGACCTAAGGATGGCTTTGAGATGTTACCCACTACAGTCCTCCGCTCTACCAACTGAGCTAAGGTCGGTTTGCTTTATTCTGATATCCATTCGTATTTATTGTCAATACAGTTGAGACAAAGCAAGACCAATCAAAAAGTCGATCCAAAAATTTAAGTTGTGTGAAATAGAAAATCGACAACTCTGTTTATAACCAAATGACTCATATCATGGGCGACTGGGCGTGACAAACGTTTTTCTTTAAACGACAAACCACTGAGCGATTGAAATCTGAGAGCTCTTCACGTTGATGGTGGTTTGGTAACAATCATACTCCATTGGCAAGGTTTACGATAGCTTTTCAAAATTTACTTTTTTTTTTTTTTTTTTTTTTTTTTTTGTTATAGACAAAACTTGTATAAAATAAATACATGTAAGTAATGCAAAAGATGAACAGAAAAAAGTTTGATGCTGCTCTGAACTTCAAAGCCTCTTTTGGTATAAAATGTCAATTCTAATCATGATTTTGCTGGAGGGTACAAAAACATCTTATATGGTCATTTCTAGGTGGACGAAAATGGACGATCTTACCCCTGCGCACAGAAAGGTTGATACCAGTATGTAAACCATATGATCAAGTGGACTTCATGCATATCTAACCTCCTTCCACATCCACATCAAGTATCATGATTACATGTAAAATCAAAGATAACAAAAACCACCATTACTTAATTTTATTTCTTCTAGTGGTTCTGTTGCTACTACTACTACTACTATTATTGGTTTACAAATTCTAGTACTAAATCATTGACCAACATCTCAACCATTTTCTCACCTACAACATCAATTTCATTCACCGCTACAAACCAATCCAAATCCTTATCAATACACGTTTCCTCAAAATCCTCCATTGCTTCCTTTTCTTGCTTACCAAGTACCTTCTGCACCTGATCTTCAAAACCAATTTCCGTCAATTTCATCTGAATTCCCCTTTCCGCAACACCCACCCACCAACATGAAACCCTACTCTTGGAAATATCAAACAACGCTTCTCTTATACGATCATAAAACAACCTTCTTTCACATCTTGAAACACTCCATCCTTCACAAATACTTCTTTTCAAGATAATCAAATAACCATGTATCTGTTTCTGTTGGATTACCATTATCTTTATCTTGGGAGTTATTAATATTATACCATGTGCTCATGAATGTATACGTGTCATGATCGTAAAAGCCACAACCTTTTAGGAAATCTATGAAATACATGGATTCCCAGTTTTCAGATTCCAAGATGGTTAATGAAGATTCTTGCTCCACCTCTTCATCATTTTGACTATCGTAAGTTGACTCTGACTCCATTTTAAGTAGATGAAGCTGTTTCCTGAGTTCTGAAAAAATAATTAGAAAAAAAAATAAAAGGAAATAAGTAGGTTGCTTTTATGGGTAAAAAACAAAGTAACGTTGGTATTAGCAGTAAACAATGTAGTTACCAAGAAGTCGAGTGCTGACTCCCTCAAAGCAATCAGAACCAGATGATACATCTTCTGTAGGAGAAGCTTCCAACACTGAAGAAAGTTGACCACATTGGTCAACCTCCTTAGACCCTTCAGACGATTCCGGCTCAGGTCCAGACAACTGGATGGAAATAGTTCCACCTGATTTTGCACTCCATTGTTCCTATAACAACCAAAAACACTTTAAAAAACGGAAACTGAAAAAATAACTGATTTCATCATCTTTAATATATATTTTAACCAGACCTGTGAAATCAAACTCTCTTCATTAATGGTTATGGCAGGATCACGGTCAGGATCATAGATATTACTATTAGAAATCAGCGACTCTTGTTCGGTTGGTTTTCGGGTAGAATGGCGTTCTGGTAAATAATCATCAAACTCAGTGCTACAAGCATTGCATCTTTTCGTGTATCTTACATTTTTGGATCGTGAATCTTCTCTATGGTTAAAATTATTACCTTTCACTCCCTTATTTTTGTATCTATGAACCGGCTCATTATGTATCATGTTCTTTAATTCACCATGAGCTTCATGATAATCACTCGTCTTATGACTTCGGTTGTTAAAAGATGGAGGGACAGATCTTGATCTTGATCTTGATCTTGATTTTGATGTGCTACTTCTGAGATATTCACCATTGATGATGTCATCATCATGCCTCATTTCAGTATTGGGAACAGAAAGCATTTCTTCCAGTGTGCTGGTGCTACCTTTTACCAATCATGTTTGCATCTTTATATCCATGAGTTTTCCATCTTTGAGACATTCTCTTTTTTTCTTCTCTAATCACAGAGGATTCAGACATAGGTGAACGCCTGGGCCTATCAAATTCATCCATGTCATCATACCCTCTGTAACCAGAATGAAATAAGTTTATGTCCCCACATTCAAATCCTTCTTTCATTTGACTAGTGATTTGCTTTGCAATCTCTCTAGCTTCTCTTGACTTGTGTCTAGATGACCTCACTTCACCTAATGGCCCTTTATACATCTCAGGAGAATGAAGAACATAAGTTCTATCATTGTGGATTTTTGCAAGATTTGGTTTGAGGACAACGATCCTTGTTGGCGAAAGGGCAATATCGTCTTTCCTTTCTACAATTCTAGATGATCTTCTATGGCGATAGATTAATGTTTCTTTCTCTTCTTTTTTGGAACCGTGCATGACAGAATTTGATGGCTTCAAGACAGTTATCTGGTTGCAGAGAGAAGCAGGAGGGATACTTTGTTGATCGTGTAGATGCTTAACAAATAAGGAATCTGGTTTTTGCAGAAAAGTCAACATCAAGTCCGAGTTTGAGTCAACCCTTTCAAGTTTACTTTTGAATGCAATCGATTCCCTGAGCACTTCATCGCATCTTTCCTGGATGTATCCGAATTCCTGTTTTGTGGACCTTCTTTTTGAATTCAGTGGTGATGGATAATGATGATTTCCTGCATGTGATGCTTCTGGATCTTCATAAACATCTTTGAATTGTTGTTGTTCGATTGTGGTCTTCTTATTGAACTGGTGACTTAATGGCTTCTCATTCCTTTTGTTGTCTGATAACTTTCTTTGTTGCTTGTGAATAGACTGAGGAGATGGTAGTCCATCTAGACCCATTAACTTGGCTATGAGACTTGGTGATCGCTTTTTGGCTGAAGTTTCATTTAACATTTCTTTAGCTAATAATGTCTTCATGGGTGTCCCATAACTTTGTTTAGAAGAGGTTTGCCCTATTTCAAACGTGAACTACAATCACCAAATTGATTAAGTCACACTTGTATGACATGACATGCATAAGTTGCTTAAAATCTTGCAAAATTAATTCTTGAATATGTTGAGAGATAAAGTTATAAAGATTGTTAACATACCAAATTATGGTCGATGATGTCACCACTTTGGGACCTAGGTTGAACAGTTTTCCGTTTGAGATTGTCTCCGTTCCCTGGAAAAAATGTTCTTGATGTTTGTTCAAATGCACAATTCATAAAATGATAATAAGTTAAATAAATCATCACCAAACAACATGGAACCTGTTCAGTAGCAAAAATGGATAGAAGATTTTGAAGATTTAAATCAAATACAAAGTAGGTAACATAAATAAAAGCAAAATAGCTTAGCTTAGAGTAAAAACCCCATGGAATCGACTCTACATACAACCCTAGCTTTCACCGTTTCATTGTGAATTCACATCCAGTGTAGTAAAGGAAAAATAACATCATGTCAGGAATCAAACGCTAATTGTCACTTCAAGCATGCTTATACAAAATGAAAATTGAAAAATTAGAGAGATAAAAATCACGTTGGGGATAGGGTTCCAATTTTGTCCGAACATGGGAAACTTAATTTTTACTACATAAAAACGAAAAGTAATTTCACAAACAATGAATTGAACAAATACAGTAAGCAGAAAAAAAAAACATGTACAGAGATTCAACTCAGTATTATTGACAATTCACGAAAGAAAACAAATATTTTATTCTTGCAATTCTTCGTCGTTTTTATCTTTCTCAGTTTCATCGCCTACTAGAACACACGTCCAATCTATCCATTGGAGTAAACAAATATCACTTCCACTTCAAGCAAATTCTCACAATGCAGCTTATTAATTGAACTACTAAATTTTCTAAACAAACCAGAACTAATAGATACACATGAGAGAGAGAGAGAGAGAGAGAGAGAGAGAGCTTCACCTCCAAAAAGGCAAGGCATCTTCGATTTTTTCCGCTTATCCCTTTCCATTTTCAAACAAATACTTTTTTTCGCTTTTTCAGAAACAAAACTAAGGACACAGCACGACAATTGCGAGAAAACTTCAGTAGATCGAGCTCATCGAAGTCATCAGGAAAGAAACGAGAAGGAAAATTGCACACTGCAAAATTATCAGCTCATTTCATCTTCATAGAACGAGAATCCGAAGAAAACTTCACCTAAACCAGACAAAAACACAAATACTCCATTTAGCTACGTTCGATCAAAAGTACAAAATGCAAATTTAGAGAGAGAAGCTTTTACATTAATGGCGGCTTCGGTTGAACGTTGTCTGAGCAAGCTGCTCTCGAGGGGGAGAGAGGGTGTGTGTGAAAGAGAAAGAGAGACGTGTGTGTGATTTTGAACTTTCAAAAACAGACTATACAGGAAGGGGAAGAAGAGTGAGAGTAGTGAAAAAGGCAAGTGGGCCTTTCAAGTAGTAACATTTTTTTATGCCACGTAGTCTAATAAATAGATTGTTGAATTTCTATGGCAACTTTTGTTTACTTCTAAAAAACAATAGCTAATTTATTTATAAAAAAAAAACGTAATAAACAGAGTTTTAATAGTTCAAATGTTATTTAATTGTACATACAGATAGTTGGATTGACTATTGATGAATATAATATAATTAAGAGAACATAAGCATGATTATTAAGAAATATGTTATTAGAACATGCACTAAAAAGACTATTTATATTTTATTTATTTTATTATATAATAATTATAAACTGTATAGTATAGGTTGAAAGAAAGAATACGTCCAAATCCAAATAAATTAAAGTATCTTAGCGACAACTAGCTAATATAATGCGTTTGAAACATGGATATGTTGGGTCATTAATAGTGTTAATCACTCGGTTGTTAATAAGTCCATCAGACCACATATGGAACTTGGAAGCCATATATCTTTCTCCATCTTTTCTACACCTACCGAAATATTAAGTGCATTAATATGGTTTCGTTAATTAGGAGTGTAATATTTTTATCCAAGAAATAAGTTTATCTTAGGAACTCTAGGTCTACAAATGATATTCACCATATTATCAAATTGCAAACCTTCGACATCTACTCTAACAACTCCATCTCGATCCTTCTCTCCGATCTTGAATCAAGATATTTTGATTATTCTCAAGTAAGAATAAACTAGTAAATCTCTTTATAGAAGTTCTGTTCTCTTCTGTATATCTTTCCAAATTCTAGCAAGCCAAGTTTCTAACTTTCAAAAGTAGAGGTTTAGAGTATTTTTTCCATGTAAATGATTACATGAACCCAAGATCTTCGACCACACCCCCACGATTTTTTAGGGTTCGGAATTCAAACATGCAAACAAGAACCTTATTCACCAACCAAAATACAAAAGTGAGGTTAAACTATAGGAAATTGCCTCAAGAGTGTTTGATTATTTATACTAGAATGCTAAAACACAATTTAAATAAAATAAGCCGGTATGGGGACCCTAATTTTGTAATCCATCCTCCCAAAACAAACTAATAGCAAACATATGTTTTGCTTATCTTGAACGATAATGGTTAACAAAAGTCACATACTTAAATTTGCTTAATACGACTTGACATAATGTGTACGTATGGACGAGGAAGTGTTTCTTAATGAAGCACGATGCACGTCACATGGTACTTTGGTTGTGTCTAGACCTAGAAATTTGTGTTTTTGTGTCGTGTATATGTGTCAGACAAGAGTTTATAAAACGTAAACACGACATGAATTGTAAAACGTGTTTTGGGTATCAAACGCAAACACAACATGTAATTAACTTGTGTGAGACGTGACACAACATGAAAACACACATTTTGAGTTGTCTTACACGAAAATACGGATTTACACAAATTTATACACATATTGCATGATATCATATTTTAAGCTAGGAAAACATGCATTTACTTTGTGTTTATACATGTCGCGTGTCACGTGTTTATACGTGTCCCGTGTGAACAAACTTAATTTGTGTCTTATAAGTGTTTAAACAGTTAAATTCGTGTTTGAAAAGTGTAAGACATGAAACATGAATTTAGAAACCATGTCAACACGAAACATGAATTTATAAAACTCATACATGAAAACTTTTGTCGGGTCGAGTGGTGTCTCACGCGTCAATATGAAACCAATACATGTGATATCCACCAAGACTTATATGTTGCATAGAACATCTTATTCAACCCTTCTAATATAATGTGTTGTTTCTTGTGTACTTAACCACTTACCAATCAATACACTATCATGTTTGACTTTTAAGCGATTTGAAATCCTTTGTCAATCTTTTGATATATATATATATATATATATATATATATATATATATATATATATATATATATATATATATATATATATATACTCAATACCCATTTAAATATCCAACACTCGGTATTATCATGTACACATACATGAACTCCTACATATAAATGACATTTGTAGGGGTTTTACAATTCTATGGACATTGTACACAATGTCATTCTTAAAATTATGTTTTTTTTAATTCAAATACCATGGATGCATCTAACTAACGCAACACTTCGATACTTAGGTATAAATCTCGCAAGCTCGTAGTTACCAATAATCATCTAATTATAAGTCATTTACATGGTTTAGTATGTTACATAACATTTCAAAGACAAAGTTGAAACTCATTAAAGCTTGTACATAATAATAATTTATCATCAATAGTATGTGTGGGTATGACTCGGGTATACACATATGTTAATTTGTGAGGAATTTACAAAGTACTTGAACTCTCATTTCGGTGTAGTACTTGCTCCCTAATACATAATTGTACTCCTTCATCGTTTCACTCTTCTTTGAAATTGCACAAAAGATATTTCATATTAGTTGTGTTGTTATGTAACCTATTTTTCTTCTACTTAATGTTCTAGTACATGTATTCAACCTAACCTTCAAGTTAATATTAGTCTTTGCCACTAAACACAATATCGTATTATCGTTGACAAAAAAAACATACAGAATGGAACCTAATCTTGATATCATGAGAAATCATGTCCAAAATCAATATATATATATATATATATATATATATATATATATATATATGTGTGTGTGTGTGTGTGTTAGGCCACATGTTTATGGGTCATTTAGGCTTTAGTTCATTAGGGTTTGATCTTAGCTAGTAATTATTCTCCCCTTTCTTCTTTGTAACTTTTCATGTTTTCATTGTGAACATTGTAATTTATCTCTTTCAATAATCATATGGCAATATTATCATGGTATCATAGCGGATGTTTGTGTAACGCCTCGAAAAACACAACCAATTTAAACCTTTCAAAACAACTCATTTACTAATAAAAGTGTTTTTACAAAATCAATTTTTCCAAAACATTATTTAAAATCAGAGTCTCCTAAGATCCAATCAGTAGTAAAACCAAGGATGTGTACAGTCACGCCTTCGCCTCGCCATGGTCCTCTAAAGAACCTGAAACCATAAGCTAAAATTGTAAGCACGAAGTTTAGTGAGTTCTCTCAAAGTACCACCACATAAACATAATAACAAACAAACAGCACACATACAGAGCCTTCGGCCTAACTGGACCGCCGCACCGACCTACAAACTATTTGGAACGCTCACAGAGCCTTCAAGATGACTGGAACGCCTCATCGGGCCTACAGACTATCTAGAACGCTCACAGAACCTTTAACGTGACTGGAACAGCTCACCGGGCCTACAGACTATCTGGAACTTTCTCTAGGCCTTTGGCCTGACTGCTACGCCTCTCGGGCCTGCAGTCTATCCGGCACCCCTAGGTCTCTTGGCCTTCAGTCTCGGCTGGTCCACCTCAACCCAATAACCAACACATATCCATACATACCATAACATAACAACATATCGATGTAAACCTTACCGGGTTTGTTGACTTGCAGCACAAAGCAGTACAGTCTCAGTCCAACTATACTACGTCGACACATGCCACAAGTAAACATATAACTAGTCAACAGACAGTCAGGCAGATCTACTGATCACTAAGCATGGCAACATCCTATATACCAGGATACCGATCTAATAGATCTCTATAGCATAATAACATACTATCATGTAATAGTATATACAAACCACTGGGTTGACTTTGGTGCCTTCGACCCATAAGTACAGTGAGGAAGACTCACCTCTCGGTCTAATCAATAGCTGATGAGGTCCCGACTCCGAATCTCAGCTCCAACTGACACCTAACCATCCATGTGATCAATCACAATCAAAATCCCGAAATACCCAAAATACTCTTAGGTCAAACTTGGTCAACTCTGGTCAAAGTCAAAGTCGACAGTCAAGGTCCAAAAGTCAATATTTCTTCCCAGCGGAGTACGCCCTGCGTACCAAGAGAGTACGTCCAGCGTATTCTGATTTTGACCAAAAGCGGGGCGCTGACTGCGTACGCACAACGTACCACCAGGTATGCCCAACGTACGCAACCCAGTCCTAAAACTTCATCAAGAGCTTATTTCATTAAGTTCTTACATCCAAAACTCAGATCCAAGCCCAAAATGATGTCCTAAGTCATAAAGTTTCCAACTTTATGACTTTGCATGGCTATAAAGTGCTTAATGTCCAAAATCCTAAGTTCTTAACCCAATAAGACATCACAACTCTTGCATGGAAGGGATAGAAGGGCCAAGATCACATTTTTATAGTTCATAATAGCTTTATAATGGATAAAGTTTCCAACTTTATCCATTAGAATGGTCCCAACAAACAATATCTAGTCTTTAAGTCTCAAAGGAACCCAAAAGTTCATCTTTTTCAACTTAATCCATTAAGTACAAGTCTCCAACTTTCAGATCTGAATCAAAATGATGTTTAGATGGATAAAGTTTCCAATTTTATCCATAACAAGGTCACAAAAATTTCAAGATCTAAACTTTATGCACTAAAATGATCAAAAGCTCATAACATCCAAAACTAGTTAGATCAAACAAATGCATCATCAAGATTCAAGATTTATATCTCTAGAAGATAGATTAAGGTGAACAAAGTCCAGATCTACAAGTTCCAATGCAACCAACACTTCTCCAAGAAGTTCCTTCTTCTCCAAGGTGCACCATGCATACTCCAAAGCACTCAAAAACACATTCTTTTAGCACACAAGGCTCAACTAGGGCTAGGGTTTCATGGAAGGGGTGTTGGAGGGGTGGAGGGTGAGAATGGAGTGGGTTTGGGGGAGTTAAGGAACTTAAATAGGGCTAAAACCATGAAAATAGGGTTTGGGCACTGATCTTGTACGCCCATCGTAATCCTGGTACGCCCGGCGTACTCAGGGTGCCTCAGTACGCCCAACGTACTCCCCTCTGTATGCCCAGCGTCCTCAGCATAACCCAAAACCGACCAAACTTCAAACGGACATAACTTCTTCATTCTAACTCCGATTTTGACGTTCTTTATATCCACAAAAAGGTGACGAGAAGCTATACACTTCTATCAAATCATTTTCTCCTTAAAACTTTCCTAACAAAAATCCAAAATTCATAAAAGGCCCAACTACTACTTTACGGTTATACATTTGGGCTCCAAATCACAAACCAAAATTTCAGATCATCTGTCCTACCTTATCCACACCCAAATGGGTCTAAATCTCTCTTTATCAAAGGCCCTAAGCCTGATGATAACCAGTCTTCGGGTCACGGCCCTGCATTAGGAAATGATTCGGAACAGGGTGTTACAGTTTGATACGTTGTTAGAAGGTTTTGTAGCAGTCATCTGTGGCATGGATCGAACTATTGTCGTTTCGTTTCCAATCTGTTTGATGCTCATTCACAGTTGATGTTTGTTTGCTTGTTGGTACCCGTTTGTTGTTGTTGTTGTTAGTTTGTTGTTGATGTTCGATCTCTTGTTGTTCGATTGGTTGTTTCTACTGGTTTGTTTCCCTTCTCATTCTCTTATTGCTTATCTATTATCCATTGCCAACATGACTTGAAAGGATGATTCCCTTCAGTCAATCATTACTCGACTAGATGGAAAGAATTATACATATTGGAGCTACGTTATAAAGAACTTCCTTCATGGGAAGAATATATGGGGCTATGTCATTGGGACTAAATCCAAACCTTCAGTGCCTCAAGCTGAGAATTTCGATTTGTTGGTTGATACTTGGGAGAATGATAACTCCAAGGTCATTACTTGGATTTACATTTATGTTACACGATCTATTGGTATACAGTTGGCTAAATATGATACAACAAAGGAAATTTGGAATCACTTGGAGAGACTGTATAGTCAATTTAACTTTACTAAACAGTATCAGTTAGAATATGATATTCGTTTCCTTCAGCAAAATGACTTGAGTATTCAAGATTTCTATGTTGT